GTGGGCAGTGAGGGGTGCAGTGAGGGAGGGGGCGGTTAGAGGTTGCTGAGGGTCGTGTCCCTGGTGCAGGGAGAGCAGCAGACCGGGGATGGGGTTGTGGGGAGCACGGGAGACCTGGCAGGGAGAGGAGGGTGCTGAGGCAGGTCGCGGAGTGGGGATGTGACAGGGATGCTTTGCCCTCATCCCTGAGGTGAGCCCTGTTCTGTAGCCGGGGCCTCAGTAGTACCTTCCCAGCGTCTGTTCTGGCGACAAGGGTGCTGGTTTGTCTGGAGACACAGAGAGTTCAGCAGTATTTTGGAGAAAGGCAGGATGGTGTGAATAATATCCGTTTTGGATCAGATTTTCTTCTCAGGTATCCACCATGAACTTTGACAGCTTTTCTCTAGTAACACATGCTGTGTTTTTCAGTCTGAAAGATTCCCATTGCAGTCAGTAAATGCACTGCGAGAATTAAACATCCTTCTTAAACATGAAGGCATAAGAGCGTTAAAGCAAATTTCTTTAGTTCTTTCAGGACCTTTTGAACCAGGGAAGTGGGTAAGTCTCCTGCCATTTAATTCTGTTCAAACAGGAAGTGGACAACAGTCAGTGACAGGAGTTGAAGCTTCAGATGATGCTAACAGTTACTGGCGGATTCGTGGGAGGAGTGATGGCAGCTGCCAGCGTGGGACACCGGTGAAATGTGGGCAAGCTGTACGACTTACCCATGTCAACACAGGAAAAAATTTACACACTCATCACTTCCCGTCACCACTCTCCAATAACCAAGTGAGTTGTTTTAAATCTTAAGTTTTTGTATAAATAATGCATGCTATTGACAACAATCTCTCCAGTTTCTCATGGTTTTGAAGAATAAGGCTTGGGTACCAGCTGCCAGAAGCAGCATGTCTGTGCATATCCAGAATTTGAGTCTATGCTTTTCTGCATCTTGGAATGATGTATTTAAGTTCTTGACAATTTAATATGTATCAGTGTCAGTATTTCAGAGTAGTTTTAACAAATATGCTTTTTTAAAATTTTTTTATTTTTTATTCTGCACCATTGCTACTGGGAAGACTCTTCTGAAATGTTTAGCACTTTCAAAGTGTAGGAGCCTGGGCACCTCCCTCAACATGCTGAATATTGCTCTACAGCAAGGCAACTAGTCATGTGTTAGAACACATGGCATTCCTATATCCAAGTTCGTGGTGATCCAGTCTATTAGTCTCAGTCATCTTCTTGCTGTTCTTATCTTAGTTCACTATTTTTATTTATCTGTTCTTCCACAGGAAAAATGAATCTGCTCTCACAGTTATTTATCATTTCGTACATATCTAGAAGAGTGTCGTTTCTAGCTCTAACTAGTTCCCATTCTTGTCCTTGAACAAATGCTTCTCCAAGATTAAAAAAATAATGCAACCTTGTTGGGAGTTTGTCATTTGTGGTCATTTTAGTCTTTCTTCAGGCTATGTAGATAGGTCATTATATTCAAGGTTGGAAAACCTGACTTTTTGTGAAAAAGGTTTGTCTTTTACCATGAGTAAAATGGCTGAAACAATAAGATACAGTTTTGTGTATCTAGATGATCTGGTTATTAAAACAAAAGAAGTGATGGGAAAATAGCATCTCAGACAAATTAGTTAAACAACAGATTGATTTGAAAACCTTCCCCCAGTTTTCATTTGTCATGTTAGACAATTTGTATAGCACTGTCAGTAATGTAAAAATGTTCAGCAATTCTCATGGTGTTTCTTTGGGTTTGCTATGTGTCTGCACGGTGTCTAAGCGAAAGGAAAGTTTGTGTGGCTTCCCAGAGATTGACAGGACTCTGACTTATGACATTACTGAAATATGATGTAGTTATGGACACAAACTTTTATTTCTTATTCTCAACAAAAGTTAGATTTTCAAATAATGTGTTCTCTTTTGCACTTTTTGGACTACGTAAACTTAATTAATGTGACCCTAAAATTTTAGGTTGCTAGGTACAAACTATTGCGGTTCTATTTTCAAATTGCTTATCACTTCTAGTTCTCAGATTTTTAACAGTTAAAGGCTGTCTGAAGTCCTAAACAATTGAAGCTTAGTCTGTCCGCTTTCTGGAAATGCTTGGAATTTTGGGGGGGCATAATGGAATCTAATCTCTTAACTTTTGTTTTAGCAGGAATTTATTTGTTTTAATGGTTGTATTTATTTTTTTAAAGAGTAATTCAGCTGTCTGTCTGAAGAAAATTGTAAACCAGGATAGTTGTTGACCCAATTGTAATAAAAAAGGAATATGATTACTGACTAAGCTAAATCGTCAGGGTGTTGTGATAAAAACGCGTGCTGAAAAGGACCTGTTGCAATGGTAACTGTGAAGAAGGTCATACTACAAAACGCAATGTCTACAGTTATAAGTTTTTTTTGAGTGAGGAAAATTTGCTCGGCATTAGTATTGTTTCTTGTGATTTTTCTTTTCTCTGAAGGATTGTTCTGATCTGTGCTCAAGTCCTCTATCGTGTCTCTGTAATGTATGTTGGGGTTTGTTGGCACATTTTGCTCAGAATACGTGTTGGAGTTTGTTGGCACTTGGTGTTCAGATTGTAGTGGCAGAAAGTTACTGCTTCTGGATTTGATAACCAAGCAATACAACAGCACTTTTTCTTTCCTCTCCATCCTTGCTTTCAACTCTGCTGACTTTGTGGTTGATAGTTTTGTGTGTGTATTGGAGGCGTTTGCTTACGTTTTCACTTCAGGAAGTTTGTGTCTCTAACAGGAAGTGAGTGCCTTTGGTGATGATGGTGAAGGAGATGACCTCGATATATGGATTGTGCAATGCAGTGGGACTTACTGGGAGCGGGAGGATGCAGTGCGCTTCAAACACGTGGGAACTGAGGTGTTCCTTTCAATAACAGGGGAACAGTATGGCCATCCCATTAGAGGCCAACGGGAAGTTCATGGCATGTCTACTGCTAGTCATCACAACTACTGGAAAGCAATGGAGGGTGTCTTCATCAAACCCAGTATGGACCCTGCAAAACATGATGAGCTCTGAATTGACAGAGGTTCCAAAATGCTTCAGCTGGCTCCAACGTTCGGAGATGCTAATGGTCTCTTATAAGTCCTGCCTTGCCTAAGTGACTGACTTTCTGTGTTACTGAAGGGCATTAGTTCATTCTAGGAATGCAGCAGTTCTGTGGGGAATGGTGTCTGCCAGGCTCAGCCGTTGAAATCTATTTGGCAAAATCCATCCTGAATTTTCAAGCTTAATTGGCGAAACTAGTTCATACATCTGTTAGTTTTTGTTGTCATTTGTTTTGCTTGTTACTTTTTCTTGAATTAGAAGGAAATGGAAAAACTGAAGTAATACATTTCTGTAGTCCCAAGTACAATAAAACTTCGTTTTTTGTAATCTTTTTCCAGTTGTAATTAAATATTTGGAAACTGATTTCTACTTCTTAGTGAGAGAATATTAATGAGGAGATGGAGTAAGTCTAGAAGGGGAAAAATAGTTCTTAAATGTGGTATCTTTTGAAGTGTATTCAGCCATCCAGGAATAAAAATGCGGTCCGTTTGAAAATCAATTTGAATGTCTTTCATGAGTTTCATTGTGTACTACATCCGAAGAGTTGAAAATATTGTGTATGCTGGAGTAAGAAGACAAAGTTGTTTAACTTTCTCCCAGGAGTTCAGATTTTCTGGTGATGGTGATGCTGCTAATGGTCAAATAGTAAGGCTGCTCTGCTCTGCAAACTGGTGCAGAAAGCTACTGCTTGTTTAATTATTAGAATTTTATAAAATTCCATGCGGTGTGAAGGAACAGTTGAATTTGACTTATGTTGTGCTTGCATGTCACTCTGCGAGATCTATATCAGAATCCAGATGAATAAATAGTGGGGCATATACCCATGTGGGGTATTGTGTGAATCCAGAAGAAGAGAAAAAGAAGTCTTACACAATGATTTGGTCACGGATTTTTGACAGAATGGTATGCTCTGGAGTGCTAGCAAGGAATCTTCATTGAACAAGTTATGAATTTCTGTGTTCCTCTCCCTCTGTGACAAGAGGAAAAAAACCCTAATTCTTGAATGTGTTTATTTGAAATACTGATTAAAATTCAAATACCATACATTTTCTACTTGCTTTAAATAGAAAAGCTCACAAAATGAGTGTGAAAAGTCAGAAAATTCAGGTGTTCTTGTCTCCATGTGTAACTAGTTTACTGATTACAGTTTTAATTAGTCAATCAGTTAAAGAAGCAGAATCTGACCTACTGCTGTTCCAGCTCCAGTCATGTGCTGCAGTGTTAGTTGTGTTGAGAAAGTGTAACAGGCAGTTGCAGTTAGGCTTAAATACACCTACTGTTATGTGCTTTGTACTCGGTGATGCCTTGTGCAGTTGTGCTGTAACAGGCTAGCTTCAGGTTTTATTCGAGGGTTTACTATAGTGAAGATCCTTCATACCCCATAGAACACGGGACCTCCGTAACAGTTGTTCGATGCACCCGATTATTTTTCTTTGAAGAAAAAGGTAAGACTGTTTTTCTATCAATCTTAATTGCATGTGGGTATTTAAGAAGTATGAGCATTTTGGAGAGTAATTAAACTGGCTTTTGTTGGTTTGTATTAGAAGTAAACTTCTGTGTGATTAATGTTTTAGGTTCACTGATATTCCTGACTCATTGGTATTGAAGTTATAGCTGTAAAGCTATTTAAAAACAAAGAAAACCAAATCTTCTGCATAAACAAGCTGACTTTATTAAAAAAGAGGGCTTTTCTTTTGAACTTGGTATATGAGTGAGTACAGAAGGAGTGGTGGCATTTGGCAACGAGTTCTCTGTCACTAAGAACTAAATGCTTCATGCCTAAACTGCGTGGGCTTAGTATTTGTGCACCTGTGGAATACTGTGGAGTGGCTGCTCTTGGTCTGTGTGCCAGGTACTACCCAGCATTTGTCTCTGCCTGGATGTTTCTGACCCTAGCAAAGGTATTTATAAGTCTTCCTTATGGTGCTTGAGTGGGATCTTACTGAACCACCTTCTTTCTGTTCTGGTTTGAGCCAAATTGGTTTGATAAGGCTGAGAAGCAGCTGACTTTTTGTTCTTATTGTTTACTTTCTGTTATGATCTGTTTTAAAAACATTTCTATCTTCCCTAAAGAACCAAGCTTGCCCACAGTCATGTATCAGTGGGTGCCTTGTTTAAAGACATATTCAACAATATTCCTGTGAATTGAGTTTCCTTCACTTTTGATTCTGACCAAAGTGTAAAAGTTCACTTGGCCTTAATGTTTCACTTGTGCATGTGTCACAATAGATTCCCCCCCCCCAATTCTTAGCACTATAAAAATTGTGCTGAAAGACTCTTAAATAAGGCCAATTGAGATACATATTACTTTGGAAAGGTCTGATATAGTACCAGTAGTTAAATACAGGCTACAAAAGTCATAATGATTGTAGGAAGTTCAAAAGCTGTGAAAAATGATGGCTTACTGAAGTACTAATGTGTCTTCTAAATAACTTCTAGATTTAAAAGACTTGCATTAGTGTCTGTCTGATGTCATATTTTATCTTTAAACTGAAGTTCAGGGATTTCAGAATCAGATTCAGGCATTTTTATTTACTTTGCTTACAATTCAGCTTTTCAGGTCTTCCCTCACAGCTGAGGATTAAAGACTTGTAGAATCCCAGGTTTTGTGTTGGGTTTGCTGTTTGTTTTCCATATGACTTTCATCATCTGCCTAAAGATGTTGTGAGTCTTGAGTAAAACGTGAAATATTGAGACATGTAGATATGGGAGTTGGGAACACTGTTTTGCTTCTTTCTTTCTCTTTATTTCAAGGTGATGAATTAAATTTTATAATACCTCTTGTCAAAATTCTCTATACGCTTCAAGGTTAAGTGAAAACTATTTTATCTTCTGATCCTAGCAGAAAATAATTCTTTCAAATAACTGTCAGGTACTTTCCAATTCCTTGCTCACTACTATTACAAGAACTCTTTGAAAAGGTACGACGATGTTGTTATTCTTCTTTTGATAAACTAGAAAGGCTTTTGGGAAAAAAATTAGAGGGATCCTTATTTATAATTGTTCTCAATGGGAATAACTGCTAAGGACAATCTACGTACTTTAAATTCTCTGCTCTGAAAGATCTGTCAAATACTGCATTTTACATATTTTATATTGAACTAGATACACACATAACAAAGTTCCTTAGACATGCTAATTTTGGAGGCAAGTGTGTGTGTCTACAAACATTTATACTCCTTATTTCCTGAAGCTTTTTAAAGCTCTGTATAACAGCATATGAACACTTGCCACGTGTTTTGACTTCTCAGTATGAATGAGAACTGGGTTTAGTCCTTTGAAAGTGCTAGAAGGGATGTACTGCTCATTGACTGCCCATTCTGAATGATGAGGCTAGAGATAAACTAGTGTTTTAATGTCATTTATTATGTTTGCAAATACTAATAGGGTATATCTGTTCTTATTAAGTTAAATTAGCATATTTAAAAAAAAAACACAACAATCCAAACAACCCTGTAAGAGTGATGCTTACTCAGCAGTGTTTTTAATCTGTTGGTTTTGCTGAATCTTGCTTCTCTTCTGCCTCTCTTCCCCAACACCGAAGCACTAGCTGTCACTGTAGATGCACCGCATTTCACACCTGTACTAAACAGAGGCTGAACCTTAGAAATACCTCCTTCCAGCAGCAGCATCCTGCTAGGTGTGTGGTGCCCTGGTTGGCGTGCTTGCTGGCTTTTTGGTTAGATTCCCTGCTGCCAGCTGGGAAACTGGCTGAGAGCCTGGGAGAGGTTTGTGTGTGCAGGGTGCCGGAATGCTGCCTGCCCCTTTTCTGGTTTTGCTTTATCACCTGTGCCCTCTTGATTTTACAGTTCTCTCTTCAAGCATGTTTTCCTGTAGTCCAGCTCTGGGCCACCAGTCAAATATCTCTGGTAATTAATTGCTTCATAACATGGCTGTTTCATCAGCTGCCTTTCAGGAACCCATGTATCTGGGCTTACAAGGCAGTACCCATGGTTGTGTCATTAAGCTTTTTAAGGAAATGGTTAAAAAAGAAAGTTACCCTTAAACAGGAATACTTAGAGCTAAGGAAGTGCTTTCTTCCTATGGTCTCCTTGACTCTGTTCTGTGAGGTAGGGAGCACGGGATGGTTTGCTTCCTCAAGAAGGAATAAAATGTTCAACCTTACCAACCTGGAGTTGCATTGGAAACACAGGGCAATTCATATTTACCTTAGGGTACATATTATGTATGCAAGTCTCAAACAGAAACAAACATTAGGGCCCCAAGATTACTTTAAATACTTAGAATTAAGTATTTTTTCGTTTCACCCCTCTTCCCATTCACATTTTAAGTGTCTCAGTGCTCCCATGTTTATAAATACTTTGGCAGGACTCAAGGATTTATACCTAATAACCTGTTTTTACTCTATGAAAAGACAGAACACCAGGGTTAGCTCCTTCTAATTTTGTTTCCTTAATCAAACTTGCAATAATTTCAGCTCTGTGGGAACTGATTGATAGTCAACCCATTCCTCTGAGGACAGTACTGAGATAAGGAGGGAATATAGTGAGCATCTTGAAGGTAGACTTCGGCAGTCACACAGTTCAATGCTTCTTTAAGTTGCAGCAAATTAAACTGATTATAAAAACCTTTTACTATATTTGGTATTGTACTAATTCTAAATTAGCATAAAGTGTACAGTGGAATCCTCCTATGACAGCTCTGATTATTGATTCAAGTTGCTGGTTTGGGGGGGATTCAGCTGTCCTCCATCTTTTGGGAAAAATGGTGCCCTGCTTCATTAGGGTTAGAAGCTGTATGACATCTCAAGGGTACCAACCCCTCATGAAACGTATTACAAGTTAATCAGAATGTGTGCAAGCTATAAAGCTGGCTAATTAGTTCCTATATACTTTTTAACTATAAAAACAATGTGCAGGTGCTGGTTAAGAGTACTAATTAGTAGTAGAGGTGTGTGCTGTGCTGAAAATTGAAGGATCTGGCGTGAACGAAGTGTCACTCCAACAAACATAAAACAAAATAGATACGTAGTGTGGTTATTTGTCTTCTGCTAATGCTTTCCTGGCCCCATCTCTATCTGCCCGGCCACTGGAGGCTGGAAGGGTCGGGCGGACTGCAAATGCCTTCCCGCTGCTCCCTGGGTTTGCGGGTGCCCGCAGCGAGCCCTTATCCCTAGGGTTTGTTTTCTGCCCACATAAATGCGGATGAGTACTCTGTCCTGCCCAGGGAACAGCCCTTCAGTTGAGCTGTACCAAAGCCTGGGTGGCGCAGGTGCGCGCGGGGCCGTTCGGAGGGAAAAGGGACGGGCGCGTCCTTCTCCCTCGCTCCCGGTTCGGAGCCCGAGGCGGCGGTGCGGCCGCTAGTCAGCGCTGCTCCCCCGCCTTCCGCGCCCGCTCCCGGCG